AATGTAATCAGCATTATATGAGAAATTTTAGAATTATATTGATTAAATCACCAAAAACATTTGTTATTATTAATAATATAAATGAAATAACTCTTAAGTCTAATATTCCACAAATTAATAATTCTAATTAAATATATTATATATAGACAATTGTAAGCAAGTGACACGGAAATACTTCAAATTTTTTGGACAGTTCAGCGGGTGGCAAAAGTGTATTAAGTGTTGCCGCTTTTTTAGAGTAGGAACTTTGTTTATGATTTAATTTCTTACACAATTTGATCATAATAATGTATATTAATAAATTGTATTTATAAATACATATTAAATTTATGTTAATAGCTTTAAAAACTAATTATTATTGTGTATTGTGATTGTGATATGCCAAAACAAATAAATAGTCTTTAGAAAGCTGATAAGCTTTTATATAAGATTGATTATTTTGAACAAGAAATAATGGCGGGACGTTTTTACTATTAAAGTCCTAAAAGAGGTAAGTTTAAAATTTAGAATATATAATTTTTTATTAAAATGTTTTCCTATCTATTTTAATGTGTTGCAGTAGTCTTAAAACTAAGTGTATCTACTGTTAATATAATAGTTTGACAAATAGTTGACATTTTAAAAATTCCTCACTTACTAACTATTCTGATGTTTTGGGGTTGCTGTGGGGTTCTGATGGACGACGTAAACACCAAAACACCGTTGTTCGGTGACGTAAATCATGAATGACGTGCAAGCTTTTTTGTATGAAAAATGCTATATTATAAGAGAGTACATACCATCGAGCAATAAGACAAAAGGGGGAATCTAATCCTTATGAAAAGGAGACCAAAAAAGTGGCCTCTGATGGCGGACATATCCGGAAATGCGAATGCGCGAAATTTAAATTTTCCGACACTTATCAACAGTAGCTATATAATATTTTTCAGAATGTGTCTTAGACGAGAAAGTTTTAATTAATTATTAATGATAAGAATCTAAAATGCGACACAATTGTTAAAAAACTTCAATATAAATAAGATTTCATGTGACATTTGGGACAAACAATAACATAACCCAACTAAATTTGATGTCAAACAAGGAGAGAGACCATCGAGCAATAAGACAAAAGAGGGAATCTAATCCTTATGAAAAGGAGACCAAAAAAGTGGCCTCTGATGGCGGACATATCCGGAAATGCGAATGCGCGAAATTTAAATTTTCCGACACTTATCAACAGTAGCTATATAATATTTTTCAAAATGTGTCTTAGACGAGAAAGTTTTAATTAATTATTAATGATAAGAGTCTAAAATGCGACACAAATTGTTAAAAAACTTCAATATAAATAAGATTTCATGTGACATTTGGGATAAACAATAACATAACCCAACTAAATTTGATGTCAAACAAGGAGAGAGACTCTCTTTCCTTGTTTAAAGTGGCCTCTAAAGATCGCACTTCCTGTCTAACAATATGTTTGCCCCCACTACCTTTACATTCCCTCTATTGTCTTTTTGCTCGATGAGAGAGACTCTCTATCCTTGTTTAAAGTGGCCTCTAAAGATCGCACTTCCTGTCTAACAATATGTTTGCCCCCACTACCTTTACATTCCCTCTATTGCCTTTTTGCTCGATGGTACATACTCTCTTACATATCTCTGTAAAATATAAATATTACAATATAACTATAGATAATTATTATACAAAAATACCAAAGAAAGTCTAGTTATTGAGAAAAATAAAGTGCCACAATTAGCAAATCAATGTTTTTAATCCATTATTATATCTGTTCGAAAAGGAACAACAAAGTGGTGTTGTTATGTAATATTTAGGAGTGATACACGCTCTAAATCACTTACAGAAAATACATATATTATTTTATAAAATTTCTAAAGCCTTTATAAGCAATATTATTTCTTTATTAAATAAAAAATATTTATAAACGTATTGTATGACGTGTAATATATTATCCGTCATTATCAAATCTGTCTGTACGAAAAACATGGCGGCTGATGAAGAGTCCTATTCATCAGTTATGTTATGTACTTTGTGGTTTTTCTCTGCTTCATTAACTTTAAATTCTAGATTTGTACAAAAAAGAGAATTAACAGTATTAACACCACTTTATCTTAATAATTTAAGCAGGGTTGAACGAATAGATTTGACATTAAATCAAACTTAATGAATTTTTAAATTAAATAAAAAAAGGGTAAGTATTTACTAAGCCGGAACGCCATAAAAGTGCCCAACTTTTTGTGGACTCCGAAAAAGTAAAAAAAACTCAAATTTTAAAGTTTTCTTTGCTATTAAGAGTGCTAAAATAATAAAAAAAAAATACCAAAAAAAGTATTATGAACCAAAAAAAAATTACATAAAAAGCAAAGTAATAAGAATCAAATTTTGTAATACAATTAAAAATCAAATGTTTTATTTTTCATAAGAAAACATGATAATAAACGTAAAGAAACGTAACCAAATCTAACCTGACTCTTGTAAAAAAGCTATAATTTTCAGTTAAAAGTAGGTAATAATAAAATGTTATTTTAATGTCAATTTGAAAGTAAATTTTAATTTTTCATTAGAAAACATAATTTTGAATAACTATGGCAACACTGGTTAAAATTACCATTTTTGACCATAAGAAACAGTTGTCATTTCTGTCATTTCTTGTTGTTTCATGGTAAATAATGGCGGTGGCTTTTAAAAATCGGGCATATTTTAAATGGAAATTACATAAAAAAGGACGTTTTGCACCGAATAAAAATCATTGCACAATTATTAGTAAGTGAAGCAGAATTCATTGATATAAATTTAGGATTAAAGTTTATTCTCAATCTAATACCGCTGAATCATAAGCAATTATTCTGTGCCAATAGCAATTGTTTAAATAGAATCCCTATGTTGACAGTTGGCATTGCTGATAGAGAAACATCAATAAAAATAAAAATTAGGTTATCTTCGCGCCTTTGACAATTTTCGTTGTAGTAGAATAAAAGTATTTCAATTTCAAATTGTCAGTGTCAGTACCGGAAAACGGAAAAAAATGTCTGAAGAATCTGGGGAAATGGCGAAAATAGTAAAGAAAACGATAGAAAGAAATCGTCAAAAAGCTATAATACTTAAGAGGAGTAAATTAGTTTCTCACCCTTACAACAAAGGTGAAGTTTATTCAGAAGACACCACAACAACCTTAAAGATAGGCACAACCAAGTATAAAGATACCGGAGGGGGTTTTCTTTTGGAAGAAAACGATGAACCCGATGAGCTGGAATTACTTTTAGCCCAAGAAGAAGCCCCGATTTTAGATTTGGACCGTCCTGTATGTGAAGTGTGCAATAAAACGTTTGCTACATCTTGGTTATTTGATAAATTCAATTACAAATGTTGTGATGCATGTAAAGACCCCGAAACACACAAATTAATTACAAAAACTGAAGCCAAAAATTCGTATTTGCTAAAGGATTGCGATCTAGACAAAAGGGAACCTCTATTAAAGTTTATACAGCAAAAGAATCCACATAATTCTTCATGGGGAGATATGAAATTATATTTATTGATACAAGTTGAAAAACGGGCTCTGGAAATTTGGGGATCAGAAGAAAATCTAGAAAAAGAAAGAGAATTGCGGGAAGAAAAAAGAGTCATGGCAAAAAGTAAGAAATACGAAAAGCAACTCAAAGAATTAAGAAAAGGTATGCGAAGTAGCTTGTATGATAGGACAAAAGCTGCTTCTCATACCCACGAATTTGGTGAAGAAACTTATAATGAGGAAGAAGATACTTATCACAGAAAATGTATGACTTGTCCATATGAAGAAACTTTTGAAAAAATGTAGTTAGTTTAACATTTATTATAGAATTTTACTTTTTACACTAATAGCACTTAAGTTATATGTATACATATTTTGATTGTAATTATTTTATTTCAATAAATACATTTACACCATATGTTTTAAAACTTTATTTAAACATTACAAGGATTTATGCTAGAATGACAACTATACTTAGAAAATGCTAATTTATCAAAATCACATGGGATTATAGTAGAAATAAGTACTACTGTCATCATCAGAAGCATATGGCAGGAGCATTATAGAAGATTTCTATATAATACACCACTCATGAAGTTTTAGTAATTTTTTTCAGTTCCTAAAGGCTCTCCATAGATTACGCTATTTTTGTAGTGACAAATAATTAAGTTTTATATCAATCTATTGTTTTATTAAATCTTCCTTATATTTGCCCAAGAACGAAACATCTACAATATGAATCCAATGTATATTTTCCATGATACAATTTACACCTGGAAAGGAAATGTAGAAATTATCCATGTTTACTTTTTCTTTGGCACTCCAGTGCTTAAAGTTCACTCCAAAATGTCATTACATCTGGGGATGGGAGAGTGCACTATATAAATCTCTCCATACAATGAGCCAGTTGTGTGACTGAATATGATATAGGTGTAGTAGGTATGTATTGTATGTGTCATGTTCAATCCACAAATTTATCATATAGCTGCAGCCCCTATCTCATGTTCTGAGTTAATTTTAAGTGTTTATTTTAGGTGTATACCTTATTCGTACCAATCCTATATCAATAGGACAGTTTAGAGCCCTCCTTCCAAAGTAAGTGCTCCTAAATCTACCCATAGTATAACATTAATCCTTTACTGAACATGTTCTTCAGCCTTAATTAATCCAACTTTGGACATAGGCCTACCCCAAATCAATCCAGTGTTTTCTATTTTGCGCCACTTTCGTGGTCTTCTTCTGCTTCTCTTCCCTAACTATGGTCTCCATTCATTGTTGTATTTCGTGTGGTTCCATCTCTTATCCTTCAGTCAGGCATTGTGTCCTGCGCAGCTCCATTTTTATTTGACAGCATGTTCTCCTGCGTTTTTTACTTTGTTTTTGCTTCTTATCCAGTTGTTTGTTTTTTGTCTATTCTCTCACCCCGATCATTGACCTTTCCATCGCTCTTTGCGCTTTTACTATTTCAATCATATTAGACTTGGTGAGTGTCCACGTCTGTGAACCAGACGTGAGTATAGGGAGGATAATCTAATCGTAAATTCTGGTTTTCAAATACTGTTCTATTTTAGTGCTTTTCAAGATCCAACTCAGTTTTCGAAATCCTGCCCAAGCTAAGTTTATTCTCCTGGTAATTTCGGCAGTTTGATCTTCTTTGTTAACTTTCATTATATGTCCCAGGTAGATGTATTCGCTTACTGTTTCTAAATTTATGTCGTTCAAATTTATTTCTCTAATGTTCAGTGTATTTGTCATTATTTTTGTTTTTTCCATGTTCATTTTAAGACCTACATTTTCCGAAGCTTGAAATAGTTGCGTCATTATGGTCTGTACTTCTTCGAAACTTGTAGTTAATATTACAATGTCATCTATCTCAAGTGACTCAGTTTTCTTCCATTAACATTTATTCCTTTATCTGCCCAGTTAATGTCTTTGAACACATCTTCCAGTCCAAGTGTGAATAGCTTTGGTGAGATAACATCTCCCTGGCGAACTCCTCTGTTGATTGGTATAGCTCTGGTTTTTACATCTATTTGTATTCTCATTGTAGCTTTCTTGTAAATATTATGTATGAGCATTCTGTATCGGGAGTCTATCCTGCAGTTGTTCATAGCTCTCTTTATTGCCCAAAGTTCTATGGACTTGAATGCTTTTTTATAATCAACAAAGCCAATGTATAAGTTCAAGTGATATTCATTAGCTTTCTCTATTAGCGTTCTGACTGTAAGAAGATAATCTACTGTACTGTAACCCTTTCGGAATCCTGCCTGCTCTACCGGTTAATAGCTATCGAGCTTCGACATTAACCTGTTAGCTATTACTCTCATAAACAATTTGTACATTTGGGACAGCAGGGAGATTGGCCTATAGTTCTTCAGATCTCCCCTGTCTTCTTTTTCGAAAAGAACTATTGTAAAACTTTCATTCCAATCATCTGGAACTTCTTCTGTGCGACGACATTCATTGAAAAAAAAAGCTTAAGTTTTTTAAACTGAACATGATATCTATTGGGAATTCGAATAATAATTTTTACCGTACTGTCTTGATTTTTTTATACCCATCTAAATAGAAATTATTTCCCAGGTAGCTGGATAGGTAGAATGGGATCTATCGAATAACCACCAATGCCTCTAGATTTGACTGAAGACCAAAGTCGACCGAATAATGTATAAGAGTTGAATGAGCGCATAAGAACAGAAATTGTACAGATGACTCCTTAAGTCATCTGTACAATGTGACAAAACATCACCAATAAAGACCGAGAATTTAATTAAAAAATGTTCTATTTAGCCTAACGTAAACAGTTTTGATATTCTAACCCCTAAGCGGTATAATATGAGACAGTTGTTTGGGTCTTCATGAATGGCTTGAAAACTCCTATTGTAGTGTTTACCAAAAACTACATTTTAAAACCAGATACACAAATTACCCGTTAATCAAAAAAAGATATATATGATTTATACAGGCCATAGTACCGTCTCATTATCTTTTATTAATACGGAACTTTCTAAATCAGTGAACTAGTGAATTTTCTGTTGATATTGTTCTGCATAATATAAATGGGTAATGCTGAAGGTAAAAGTACATATTATTTATGTAAGAAAGTGTTGGGTTATAAATTAGAGTAACATTAAATTCTGCAAGCCCGGGAATTTGCCATGATGAACAGACTAAAAAATATACACAATACTCTAACTTGATTTTATTTTATTTTGACTTTGGTTGGACTACCACAAAATAAAACCACAACCAAACCAGAACGAGTGAAATTATTTCCAAATTTTTAAAATTCTTTATATTCTAGTAACTTTTTGTTTCAAATGTGTAGTATACTTCATAGAGATGGGTGTCAGTTAAGGATCTGTTATTTTTCACTGGTCACAAATATTTTCTCAGTTCTCAAAGAAAATCATGATACCATTGCATCGTTAATTGACAAAAAAGGCCGAGTTATGTCCTCAATAATACAGCCAACTTAAATTTTGAATTATATAAACAAAGATACGTTAATTATAATGTTTCTAAAGTACGAATTGAATAAATATACATATAGTAACTACAAGGCCAAACAATTAGGAATATGTAATGTAGAATAAAAACATACTTTAGCACTTGTTTATTAGACACACTTTAAGACAGTGAAAGGAAAAATCTGCATAAAGTTTCCATGAATAATTATGATTTATCTACGGAGAAATTGGACTATTAATATGATAAACTTGTAATCTATTATTATATCTGTTGTAAAGTTTTTATCTTTGAGCAGAATTAAATAGGTACTTTGTTAACTTTTATTGTATTCCGTTACAAACTATTTCTGCTTGAATTTATTCCACATGTATAACATTGAAAATGACATCCTGTAGGACAGACACGGGCAAAATTTTTAAAAGGAGGGCCAAATAAACTAAAAAATTATATAGGCGGCCGAAAAAACATTGAGCAAAACAAATCTTTATAAGTAATAAACTGGGAAAAACGTGGGATCAGAAGTACTACCAAATATAATGGGATTCGAAATAGAAAGAGCTTTTAAAGAGCTAAAAAGTAATAAAGCTACAGGACACGACAGTATAATTGCTGAGCTCTTGAAAACAAGCAAACATTAACAATCCCTATACTAACAGAGCTATTTAATATATATCTCCATAATAGTAAGATCCCTAAAGACTGGAACGAGAGTCTAGTAAGACTCTTACACAAAAAATGGGACAAATGTTATTTACAGAATTATAGATCTATATCGTTGCTCAGTCAAGTATACAAACTATTTATGAGAATTATTAACAACCGGTTGACCTACAAAATGGACAATTACCAACGGGAACAGGTTGAACAGGCTGGCTTCCGCAAAGGATATAGTACATCAGACCATCTGCTGACAAAGAGAACATTGATAGAGAAGGCAAATGAATACCAACTACCCATATTTCTTGCCTTCGTCGACTATGAAAAGGCGTTGGATAGTATCGAGATGTGGGCCACACAACAAGCTATTAATAACTGTAGAATAGATTCGAGATATAGGCAACTAATACATAATATATATATGAAAATGCAACTATGATAGTTAACTAGACGAAAATACAAATCCCATCCCCATTAAGAAAGGAGTGAGACAAGGAGACGTAATATCGCCAAAGCTTTTCAACCTAGCCCTAGAAGACTTCTTCAAAACTACAAATTGGTCAACCTATGCCATTAACGTTCATGACAACAAGTTAAACCACCTAAGATTCGCTGACGACATAGTGATTATAGCGAGCACATTCGAGGAACTGCAAATTGTGATGGGGGAACTAGCAGGCAGCTCCCAATATGTCGGCCTAAAAATGAATATGAAAAAAACAAAAATAATGACAAACACAGATGACCCCAGACGTATAACTATAAATGGCAGTGAGATAGAACAAGTCCAGGAATATATTTACCTAGGCCAAATCCTGAAACTTGACAAAGAGAACCAAAGTGCGAAAATTATTAGACGAGCAAGACTAGCATGGGCAGGATTTGGAAAACTTAGTTGGATACTTAAGAACCGCAAAATACCCCAATACTTGAGGAGCAAAGTGTTCAACTAATGCATCCTTCCTATCATAACATATGGATATCAAACCTGGACCCTAACCAAGGCAAACATGAATAAACTAGCCACAACAGAAAGAACAATGGAAAGAGTAATGTTAGGTATACGACTGTCAGATAAAAAGAGGAACGACTGGGTAAGATCAAAAACAAAAGTCGAGGACATAACAACAAAAATTTCTAAACTTAAATGCAGCTTCGTGGGCCACACTGCTAGACAAAAAGGCCAACGTTGGAATACTACAATACAATATTGGAGACCTTACGAAAGTAAACGACCAATAAGAAGACCACAGATGAGATGGGTTGATGACATTAAAAGAATAGCCGGAACAAATTGAAAATATATTGCTCAGAATAGAAACCGATAGAAGGAGTTGGGAGAGGCCTATTTCCGAACATGGACGATAGAAGGCTAAGAAGAAGAAGAAAAATAAACTGGAAAAGTATTTCTAACTCTACTTATCTTAAAAAAAAAATGACATTCTGAAATAATCAAAAAGGTCAAAAAACACGGTTCCTAGACTTAAAATGGTTGCCTACTTTGACTAACCAATGAACATTAAGCCCATCGAGCAAAAAGACAAAAGAGGGAATGTAAAGGTAGTGGGGGCAAAAATATTGTTAGACAGAAAGTGCGATCTTTAGAGGCCACTTTAAACAAGGAAAGAGAGTCTCTCTCTCCTTGTTTGACATCAAATTTAGTTGGGTTATGTTATTGTTTGTCCCAAATGTCACATGAAATCTTATTTATATTGAAGTTTTTTAACAATTGTGTCGCATTTTAGACTATTACCGTTAATAATTAATTTAAACTTTATCGTCTAAGACACATTCTGAAAAATATTATATAGCTACTGTTAATAAGTGTCGGAAACTTTCGACACTTATTAACAGTTAAATTTGGCGCATTCGCATTTCCGGATATGTCCGCCATCAGAGGCCACTTTTTTGGTCTCCTTTTCATAAGGATTAGATTCCCTCTTTTGTCTTTTTGCTCGATGATTAAGCCCGATATTACGTCACGAGAGTACAGTCATTTGAATCGTAACATTGTTAATCGGCGTTTTTATGTCTTTGATGTATTGAAAATAGTAAAGATAGTTATGAAATAAAGATGTTTGTTTAGTGGATTATGAATTCTAATTATGGAGAACTGTTGATATGTAGCTAGTTTGGTACTAAAATTAATCAGAATAGAGTCCTAAATTTACATAAATCTAGGACTTCAATCTCCATTTTATACACTGAAAATTTGTCGCATATACTGAATTAACTATTACCACCAATACTGGATTAACTATTGAATGAATTACCGGCACTTAGAGGTCTGCTAGGATTATCTGAATTAGAATTACTTGTAAAATTTAATGTAAGAATTTAAATAATAGGCAATAAATTTTAATTGGTAAAAAAAGTAAATAGTTTATATTTCCAATAGATATAAATATACACTACCTACATCATTATTTTTCTCATTTTTTAAATATTTTTCCTTCATTGATCATTAATGTCTTCATCTTGTTTTCTTTTAGCACTGGTAACATGGCCATTGAAGCATTTATTAAAATACTTGATCCGCATGAATATTCTTTGTCTGCAGTATAATTTTACGAGACAAAGGGGTGTATTTGAACAATGACTAGAAACATACTGTGCAGTTCGATGTATAATTTTCTTATCCCGTTTTAGGTTTTCACCATGAAAAGTTTAGAAATATTTTTCCATCGTCATTTTAGTATCTGCTGATTATTGGCTTCGTTTGGGACTTAGCTTCTGATAGTATTCCGCCTTGTCTCTTGGATGAGATAATTTTTTCATAATTACTGAGTAATTATCTGCTGTTCTAGGTTCAGATATTTGAATATGTTTGTATTCTTTGTAGAAAAATGCTCACATACTTGAAAGCGCGGACGAAAAAATTTGTGATACGAACAACAGTGCAAAAAATGGGAGAGATACATCACTGACCTTTTTGACGATGCTTCTAGAGAAAATGCTCCAAATACTGCCTGTGACAACCAGTTGGACAGAGGTCCCAATATACTGAATTCGGAAGTCGAAAAGGCAATACAGCAAGCCAAAAACAATAAAGCACCTCTACCAGATCAAATCCCTGCCGAACTACTTAAACTTTTGGATGAGGAAAGCATTGCCTGCTTGACCGCTTTCTTCAACAAAATTTACAACGAAGAAAAAATACCAGATGATTGGTTAGAGTCACTGTTTATAACATTACCAAAGAAAAGCAGGCCCACCAAATGCAGCGATTTTAGACTAATCAGTTTGATGAGTCACACACTGAAGATACTCTTACGAATTATACAAAACCGAGTATTCCTTCTATGCGAAAGTAAGATGGGTGATAAGCAATTTGGATTTAGAAACGGTCTAGGAACTAGAGAGGCACTATTCTGTATGCGCGTTCTATTACAAAAAAGTTGTGAATTCCGAAAGAATGTTTATGTTTGTTTCATCGACTTCGAGAAGGCGTTCGACAGAGTCCAACACAATACACTTTTCGACTGCCTACGGGCAGCAGGACTTGACCACTATGATATAAGACTGCTGAAATACTTATATTACAATCAAGTAGCCTCTATCCAAATTGGAGACAGTCCCACTGAAAAAATACCCATCAAACGTGGAGTACGGCAGGGTTGTGTTTTGTCACCCACTCTTTTTAATCTGTACTCTAAAGAAATCTTTAGGGAGGCTTTGGATGACAGACAAGAGGGAGTAAGACTAGGTGGAGAAGTAATCAACAATATTAGATACGCTAACGATAAAGCCATTCTTGCAGAAAGTTTACAAGATCTCCAAACATTACTAAATCTAGTCAGTGAAGCAAATTATCGGAGAGGCCTAAAAATTAACATTTCAAAGACAAAGTGGATGGCAGTTGGAAAAATCCATATAGATCAAGGTCTGCTTTCTCTTAATGGAGAAGAGATAGAAAGGGTAAATCATTTCAAATACCTTGGCAGCTGGTTAAATGTAAATTGTGACTCTGATGAAGAGATAATATCCAGGATCGAAATATCACGTAAGGCTTTTATGACCTGGAAACCAGTTTTATGCAACAAAAACCTGCCAATGAATATTCGTAAGAAGGTCCTGAAATGTTATGTGTGGTCGATCCTATTGTATGGTTGTGAGACATGGACGTTAAAAACCACAATGCTAAACAAGTTAGAAGCATTCGAATCGTGGTGCGATAGACGAATCCTAAAGATATCGTAGGTTTCGCACACTTCCAATGAAGATGTTCTTCAAATGATCAATTCAGAACGTCTGCTCATAAACACCATAAAGAGGAGAAAAACAGAATACTTCGGCCATATAATTAGAGGACCTAAATACCATTTACTTCGCCTTATAATACAAGGAAAAGTGGAAGGAAAGAGATGGATTGGTCGAAAGAAACTTTCATGGCTGCGTAATATTAGACAATGGTGTGGTTCCACAGTAGAAGAATTATTTCGCGCAGCAGCCGACAGAGAAAGGTTTCAGGAAATTGTAAACATGATGACGGCCAACGTCTGAATACGGACACGGCACCCAAAGAAGAAGAAGTATTTTTTGTGTATATATTTTCAATACAACAGCTAAGAAATACAATATGATAATATCAGCAGAAAAACCAAATATATGACAACATCTAAATACCCACTACGGTGTAAAATCGAAATTGATGGAAAAGTAATAAAGCAGGAAGCAAGGTTTAGATATCTGAGAATAGATATAACTAGTTACGGAGATGTTGAAAAAGTACGACAACAAAGCTTAAAAGCAAGTAAAGCAGCGGTTTCTCTTAATGACACAATTTGGAAGAACAAACACCTAAGACAAGACACAAAAACAAGAATCATAAAGCAGAAATTAGACCTATATGAACATACATGGCGGAGACAAGACCTGATACATCTAAAACGAGACGACTGCTAAAAACAACAGAGATGATAATTCTCCGACGAATACCAGGGAGAAGTCTGTCGGATAGGGAGAGAAGCGAAAACATAAGAAGAGCATGCAATATAGAAGAAGGTATTCTTTGCAAAATGCAGTAACCCTACTTTTCGATGGTCGATCGTCTATTAAGCGAGGTGTTTTACCTTGTAACAGAAACGCATAATCATTTGATGTCTCAGTTGTTCCCCTTGTTATTTGGCTCACTTGTTGTTTGCTGTAGCTGATTGCGACGAGTATTATTTATAAAATTATTATTTGGTCATACGAATCGATCATGATCGATTAGAATTCATTGTAATTATTATAATCCTAATCCTATTACAATGCCTAAACATAATTAAATCCAGAGTCAGAAAAACCTACTGCACAAACACAAGTTTGTGCAATAAGTTTGTGTTTCACATCTGTTTTACAAAGCTGTAACCAAATTTATCTGCTATACAATTGATAATATTAATATCTTTTATTTAATAACCACTAAAATTATCTAGGCATAGAATAAATACTCTGTATGTAAAATCAAAAATATGTGCTCATACAATATTGAACAGTTCCGGGAACAAATTAAGATATCTGGACAACTCACCTCTACACAATCCAGTGTTTTTATAAATATAAACTATGGCGTTTGGTACGACTGATTCTAAACGTCAAAAAAAGTATGGCTGATTTGGATGCGGCTGTTAACAACAGGAATCGTATCGAAAATATGAAAGGCTCAAACGGCCCTCGTGTCGTAACAATTAATAAAACTGAGACAGGTTTCGGTTTTAACGTGAGGGGCCAAGTTAGTGAAGGTGGACAGTTGAGAAGTATTAATGGGGAACTGTACGCCCCCCTTCAACATGTTAGTGCAGTGTTAGATAGGGGTGCTGCAGAACAGGCTGGAATAAGGAAAGGAGACAGAATTTTAGAAGTGTGAGTAGTTTTACTTAAGCTTTGTTTTCTATTTTTTTTATCATATTTTTGCTAATGTCCTGTGACCCTATTGATTTTTAATAGTTTATTTGTTGACATATGACAGATCAGTTTGTTATGCAAATTTATGGAGGTGTCTACAAACACAATCCTTGGAATTATTTACCTTTATTTTAAAATTTGTAAATCATGCCATATAATCGTTTTTCAATATTTTAAAACCTGTTTTCAAAGGCACAATATATTCTATCAGTAACATGCAAGTCTTTATAATGCCACCCCCAAATAATCTTAAGTGTGATTAAAAAATGGCAATTAGTTTAAAAATAAACAGCTTTGATAATTTTAATTGCTATTTATGCATATGATTTTTTAGTGATCCTTGCTAATGTAAACAATTACTGATTACTGTTTATCTATATCCATAAATATTTAACAACAATATTTAAATTTTCTTTTATAAACAAATATTTTTTTGTAACTAATGTAATGTAATTTGAGTTTTGTACACAAGAATAGACAAGAGACAAAATTACTATCTGCAGTGAGTCCTTTGTGAAGTGGACTTTTTATATTCTAGTTAAAATTTACAAATGTGATAGAAATAAGGACTCTATATCTGTAACTGAAAGGTTTATGCTGGGATTATGAAACTTTTTGATTAAGTTTTTCTTAAGGTCTTTGTAGAAATATTTCTAGAAATATGTTTATATACCTAGAATTTCCATATTATGAGACTTCCTATGGAGTTGAAATATTTCTGGAAAAAATAGAAAATTTTAGAACCAAAAATTTACACAGTATACAGTTTTTTCTTTTGACCTTTTTATACTGTAAAAAGTATCTTAGATGACAAAAATAAACAAAAGTAAATTTCACAATGAAATGACATATTAACACGTTCAGCCGGCTGGCATCAATATGATGGCTCACTAAATAGTATTCTTGGGACAGTGAGGTATCACTCTAATACCACACTACAGTTTTGTATTCGGGACACTGTGGTATCAACTGTACCCCCCCAGCTATATAAATTACATTGTAAGTTGGACAGTGTGGCCCAAGGAGCAAAATAATATTTCCTGATCGGATGTCAGACAGTTTTTACGAAAGATATGGAAATTATAAAACTTTATGAAAAAAATAAAAGATTTTATTCAGAAGGTGCAAAAATAATTATAATAATATAACACCTTATTATTTTAAAACAACATTATATGTTGAGAAAAAACAAGAAAAACAATAATATTTTTTGCATTGGTTGCACACAAATTTAGAATGAGAACACTTGTTTTGAGCTTTCTTCCGCTCCAATTCATTCTTCATTCTGACATAGCAAACCACACCTCTCTTTTTTCTTCCTTCTACAAGCTCATGACTGACATTGGTGTTATCATTGATATTAGTTTCAATAGCAGACATTTCACCCAGTAGTTCTATAGCGACTTCTTTTTGCACTCTGTTATAGCCAATTTAGTTTGTGTAACCTTTGTATATACAATATGAGCATTCACCAAGGCACTATCAAACAATAATTCTGTGGCTAATTTCCTGTATCATTTATTCCCTCGCCTCAAGCAATTTTTGCCCCCTTTTTTCTGATCTGAGAGATCAATAAAGGATTTTGAATCATTTTAATCAACAATCATTTTGTGCTTTTCAATTTCTTTGCCTTTGTGTAGACATTTCAACATTTCATCCCCATGCTTTGTACTAATCATCAAGACATCCCTTCTGTCACACCATTTTAACATTACAACTATTCTTCTTGACAACCTCGTGACAATTCATTTTTCTGTTTTACTGAACAGTGTCTACAAGGCGAGTTGTACAGCTGAGCAGTGTATGAGCAAAGGTGACGCTTGTACAATAATTATATGTGAAGAGAGTATGATCACTATCTAACAACCCTTCCATAAGTGATAGAACAACAGATAAAGAGGCATTTTGACCTCCCTATCTTTTCTACAGTAAATTTTGAGGTCATAAGTGTAGCTGTTTTCTAATCAAAGCTTATATAATTTGATACCAAATTTGAGTTTTTTATTTTTGATATATTGCTTGAATTTCAAGTGACCACGATAAGGTACTATCGTCTCGTCAATACAAACATTTTCTCCTGGAGTAACAATTTGCTGAAATCTAGAAATAAATTTTTGAACCAACAGAGATATTTTTTGAAGCCGATCAAAATCCAGTGAGTTTGGTTGTGGCGCTGTTTCATTATTGTTGAAGTGAATATTTAAAAGTAATTGTTCAAAACGATTTCTAGACATTTTGTGTCTTATATTGGTAACAAATAAGTAATTTCTGCTCCAATAGTCGCGTAATCGTGGTGCTTTTAGCAATCCCATCCATATAGTTACCCAAAAAAATATTTCCATTTCTTTTCTTGTAGTTGGTATCCAACATTTACATTTAGATTTGGCTACAACAGGTCAGCCATTTATCTGTTGATCTGCTTATAAATTCTTTTGAATAACTATATAATAGATCAGTCACAAATAGTTTTTAAAAGAAATAAGGAGTTTCTGTAAAATTGTTGTAATATTCCAGCATTCTGAATAGTCTGTGGAAAATTTTTCAACTTGGAATTATCCACTTCGCTCCATAATAACTCTGAACTCTCCATTTCATGTTCTTCTGTGACAACAGCTACTGCAGAAATTACAGTTTCTATTTTCTGTTGTATTAGGTCATCCTAAACAGAAATTGGGTATGACTTTCCAGAATGAACATAAAAGTTTAGTAAAACTTACCTCATTTTCAAAGGCCTGTAATGCTATTTTTGGTATACCGCTAAGCCCTGGCACTGCAAGATTGCGTTTGTCCGGTACTTCACTGATGTAAATGCCATAAAATCTTCTTATTTATAAGCTTACAAGTCTTTTCTGTTCTTTTTCGTAGGAATCGTAGGAAATTTTATAGTACACTCATACAATAGTCATATGCAAAGAGCACCAAACAAAGAATGACTCAGAACGTCAAATACTTCCATCGCTTCATACAAGAATAAACAAGTTTGAGGCATCACGTAAATGCCACGCTGTCCAGACAAACAAAGTTATAGTTCTCGGACAGCGAGGCATCAATGTGATGCCTCAAAAAATGTTGTGCAATAACTCGATTGTCAAATATGTTTTTGAAAATGAATCAGAAATGCGGAAAGGCACCACGACTCCCGTCTTATTTACAAAAAATAAAATGCTGACCAATGGATGAGAAAAAAAAAATTTTAACACTGGGGCTGAATGTGTTAAAGTCTGCTTGTCATTAGTAAAAAAAAATTTTATGGCAAAAGCAAATACTTTTATAGTGGCTTTAACACCTCCACAGTACCACCAGCTGAAAAATACTGGTCCACCAGCTGAAAAAGATGTAACTGTGTTTGTGTAAAATATGGCTAATAATAAATACATCTATTTTTCTATCTTGTGATTAACATACAAACTAAACCAAAACTAAACCACCAAATTTATGTGGTATAGGAAATTTAATTAGTTATTTTCAGTTATCTCAGTTTTCAATCAAGCAATATTTTTGAAATATTATTAGAAAAAATGAGTAACAGAAGTAGTAGAACAGATAAATTATTAAATTTAGCTTTGCAAAGTACTAATAAAAATGAACTGAGTAATTCGAATACAGAATGTAACCAGAATTTAAATCTACACAAAGTATTGATGATAAATACTTTGAGAGACTCAGAGAAAGAGCGATTTTAACTTTTTAATTAATGAGAATCATTTAATTGAACACTCAAATATTCTGATATTCAATCAACATTAGAATCTGAGGAAAAAATAATTGTTCAGTCTTGAATACTTCAGTTCAGTCTACTGAATAAACCTGAAGGACCAGGTGCTAAAAAAGGTGAAAAGCTGAGGGAAACAATGCAAAATAAAAGAAAGAAGAAGATGATAGAAATTTAAATATAATCATCATTACATATTGTTATATCTACGTGAAAAAAACAGATTTGTTTATCATGTTTTAATATTAAACACAATGCATAAATTTTAATATTTATTTTAATTATACTACGATTTAATTTTTGCATGTTTATATAAATATGTATTTTTTGCACCATATTTTACAATATTTGTTTACTAATGTTTCAGATTTGTTTTATTTGAAAATATTATATTATGATTCTTAAGGATTTCAGTTTGTGTTGTACAGACATAATAATCTGGTATCAATTTTCTATGAGTTTGTGTGTCCTTCTACCACTACACCTCAATATTATAAATGATATACCTTTAAGTTACTCATATTTTTTAAGCACTACCAGCCTCCTTCGACAGGGGCGGCTCGTGATAGTACAAGATGGTGAGGCACACTACACTTAAGGAAAATTATTATTATTATGGTTAACTTCTCTTTGCTCCAGTCATACCCGCCTAAGGAGGCATTGCTCGCGCCAGCAAACAATGACTTGGCGTGAGAAGGACTTCTGACGATACGCGCGCGGATCAACAAAAGTCATCCTCACCTCAAAGCTCTCCTAAGCCCTCCTCCACCCTCCCTTATGTGCACTGAAGGTGCAACATAAGGGCTGACTGCTTTTTGAAAAAGTCCGCGATTGAGCTGTATTTATGAGCACCATGTGTAATAGGGTGCTCATAAATGTAACTTAAATGATACCAAGGTGTCGTTAAGCGACTTACTCCGGTTTATCATGAAATCTCGTATCGTGAGATAAAAGCGAACGAAAAACGAGGGAGCTCTAATCCTCGAGCCTGCACCTTGGTTAGCGGCCAAGCTGTAGCCTCAAGGATCTAGGTGGCCTCTCCCGTGGCCTTTTTTTATTTTTATAATTTTTTTGTGAATTTTTTATTATTTTATATTTTTTTTTGAATCTTTATATTTTTTATTAATTTTTTTGGGATTTTTATATTTTTTTGGGGGTTAGTAGGTATTTTTTATCTGGGAGATTTGTTAGTAAGTGTTATAAATGGCGACTGCTAATCTAGTGCCATCTTCTTCACGCTCTCACA